CCTCTTGGTTTAGAGTCAGCCAGACCTGGTGGGCATGCCTTGTATTTCAAAGGTAACTGGGCCCAACTAAGTCTCTGGTTTGGAGGCTCATCTGCATGCCTCTGGAAACTATGAACACAGAAAAACGACAGTAGTTATAGAACAAGGGTCAGGTCTTTTGTTCATAGGGTCTCTATGAGTCATGTTCGACTCGACACTTAACAACAACAAAACAACAACTTATTTGACAGCTTTGGTGCATATATTATTATTTATTTAGTGTTTGTTCCTATCAGTAAAGCACTTGTCTATCAGTTGTCTGTACTGGGGTAACTTGCGGATTGCTGTGATATTGGAAACTATGCCAGCAAGGTTTCACATGCCAGCAGGATCATCCGTGGTGGGCAGGTTTCAGCAGAGCTTTCAGTTCAGACAGACTGGCAAGCAGCATTGGCCATCCACTTCTGAAGTAAACAGCCTTCAAAAACTCAATGAACAGTAGAAAAACACAGGTAGCTATAGTATTAGAGGTAGAGCCTACATGAGGAGTCACTAAAAAATGAAGTGAAATCACTTCAAACACCTACTAATAATTGGAACATGGAATATATGAAGTATAAATAGCAAAAAACTAGAAGTTGAAAAATTTAATGGAATTCATAAAACTAGACATCCTAGGCATTAGTCAGTTGAGATGGACTGGAATTGGCCACTTGGAATCAAACAATCATATGATTTGCTATGCCAAGAATGAAAAATTTGCATTCATAGTTAAAAAGACTGTTGCAAGAGCTATCATAAGGAACAATGCTGTGAGTGATAGGATACTGTATACATTATTTATCCCCTTGTTCTGAGTCTCCCCTCAACCCTGATGTCAGTCCCATTTTACAACAGTGGTCCTATGCAATATTTGACCTTTTGTGACTGCAATATTTCACTCAGCGTAATGTCCTTCAGGGTTACTCATTTTGTATAATATTTCATTAGTTCCTTGTTTTTCAATGCAACATAGTATTCCATTGTGTGAATATACCACAGCTTCTCTACCCATTTGTTTGTTGATGGGCACATGGGTTGTTTCCAACTCTTTGTTATTGTGAACAGGGCCGCAATAAACATGGATATGCATACATCTTCTTGGGTGGTGGTTATGTTTTCTTTGGTGAATATATTCCCAGTAGTAGAATTGCTGGGTCAAATGGTATTTCTATTTCTAACTTTTGAGAAAGTGCCATACTGCCTTCCATAGTGGTTGCACCATTTTACAATGCCACCAACAGCGAATTAAGGGTTCCAGTTTTCTCCATAACCTCACCAGTATTTGTTGTTTGATGTTCTGTTAAATTTTGCTATTCTTACTGAGCTGATATCTCATAGTTGTTTTGATTTGCATCTGTCTTAGAGCTAGAGATTTTGAACATTTCTTCATGTGTTGGCCATCTCAATGTCTTCTTTGGTAAAATATCTGTTCATATTCTGTGCCCATTTTTCAATTGGGTTGTTTACCTTTATCTTATTGTGGTGCTCGAGTATTATATAAATACTAGATATAAGTTCTTTGTCTGACATGTCATTACCAAATTTTTTCCCTAGTCTGTGGCTTCCCTTTTACCCTGTTGGAGAAGTTTTTGGATGTTCATAGGGATATGATTCTTAGAAGATCCCATTCATCTATTTTATCCTCTCCTGGGTGTAGATTTTTCAGGATGCTTGGAAGACTCTTTATGTTATGGATTAGGACTTCTAGAGTTCTTCCAGCTTTTCTTTAATGAAGTTCCTAGTCCTTGGTTTTAGTCCTTGATCTATGATCTGCTATGAGTTGGTTTTTGTGTAAGGAGTGAGGTGTGGATCTTGCTTGAGTTTTCTACAGATAGTTTTCCAATTTCTTGCTTGAGTTTTCTACAGATAGTTTTCCAATTTTGCCAACACCATTTGTTTAAAAGGCTGTCCTTTACCCACTTAACTGATTTCATCTCCTCGTCAAAAATCAGTTGTCCATAGGAAGATGGGCTGATTTTTGGATTCTCAATTCTATTCGATTGATCTATGTGTCTGTCATTGTACCAGTACCATGTTGTTGCCTCCTATCTTATTTCTCTTTTTAAGGAGTACTTTGCTTATTCAGGGCCTCTTTCCAAATGAAATTGGAGACTACCTTTTCCATCTCATTGAAAAATAGAATTGTTATTTGTATTGGGATTGCACTGAACATGTAAATTGCCTTTGGTAGTATTGTCATTTTCAAAATATTGAGTCTTCCTATCCATGAGCAAGGAATATTCTTCCATTTCTCCAGATCTCTTTTTGTTTCTTGTAGTAATGTTTTGTAATCTTCTTTGAATAGATCTTTTGTGCTTCTAGTTAGATTTACTCCCAAGTATTTAAGGTACTGTGAAGGGTATTGTTTTTCTTAGCTCCCACTCTGTATTCTCTTTGTCATTGTAGAGAAATCCAACTGATTTTGTATGTTGATCTTGAATCCTGCCACTTTACTGAATTGGTCAACTATGTCCAGTAATTTTCTTGCTGAGTCTTTAGGGTTTTCTAAGTATACTATCATATCATCTGCATAGAGAGATAATTTTACCTCCTCTTTGCCAATTTGGGTACCTCTTATTTCCTTCTCTTGTCTTATTGCTATCACTAACACTTCCAATACAATATAGAATAAAAGAGATAATAGTAGGCATCCACTTCTCAAAGGGAATGCCTTTAATCTCTCTCCATTGAGAACAATGTTGGCTCTTTGGTTTGCGAATATACTTTTTACTATGTTGAAGAAATTCCCCTCTAACCCTATTTTGTTGAGTGTTTTAATCAGGAAAGGGTGTTGGATTTTGTCAAAGGCCTTTTCTACATCAATTGATAGCATCATGTGGTTCTTGTTCTTTGCTCTGTTTATATGATTAATTACATTAATTGTTTTTCTTATGTTGAACCATCCTGTCATACCTATTATGAATCCCACTTGGTTCTTTGGCAATTTAGGAGGCTCAAAGTCTAAATTCAGAGCACTTGCTTAGGGGAAGCCTTTCTCTCTGTGTTGACTCTTCCTGGAAGATTTATATATGCCTTTGCATCAGTCCTTTTCTGGGTCAGTGTGGGCCTCAGTGCAGGACATTGGGTCTAAAAGATGCATTCCAATCCTAGCTCTTCTTTCTTGGTGGTAGCCAGATCCCTCAAATGTCTGATACTGTTTAATCTCTTTATATATCCTAAAATATTGACTCAAGGTACCACCTAACATGGTAGAGTATATCTTGCCTCATTAATATCATTGAAGTTTGTATTATAGTGTACAGTCAGGTTGGAACCTACCCATAGCTGACCCCCCCAGTGGGTTTACAGAGGCAGTTTAATTGCATGGGAGGAGGTTTCCCATCTTCCTGCCACATAGCAGCTGGTAGATTTGAACAACATGTCATTGGTATGACAGCACAGCTCCTTACCAGTAGGCTGCCAAAATGGAGCATAATTACAAAATACTAAGAACACTATATTAGCTGAGTTGACACATATTTTGGGGGGACAATGCTAATCTGTAATTGGTGGTCTTTCCTATGCTACAGCCTCAAACTATGCCTGGTGAAATCCTGTTCATCCTTTAGAGCCTTCCTTACATCAGGCAGGCTGGATCACTCATTCTCTTTCTTCTTGTTCCCCTGACACCCTGTTCACATTGGCTTTTGGATATTTGATTACTTGTCTGATTCCTGTACTGAATTGCGTGTTCCAAGAGGGTCTTCATTTGTCTAATCTTGCTCCTCACAGAATACCTGCTCCATAGTAGATGCTTAATAACTGTATGAATCAAATTGAATTTGTAAATATGAAGAATCTAACTAGGGCAGATGAAGAAATCATATTCTGTGCCTGGACAAATATGAAAAATGACCCAAGGTGGCCCTACTACTATGGCTCAATTAAGCAGATGTCTTTACGAGGGAGCCAGAACCTTATGGTATTACTAATGAGAGACTTCCAACTAATCACCAAATGCCGTTTACTCCCATACCTATTTAAGTCTGAGTACTGTTCACTGACTGAATTTGCAAGCCCTACTGCCACCTAGGCACTCACTGTGGCAAAAAAAAAAAAAGATATGATTTATTTATGCTCTTCAACTGCTTCCTTGGAAACATTCTGCATATTTATCTCCATTTGGGATGGCTTTAAGTTAATTGACTGGTCCAAGTCTATATAGTATGGGGCATTGTCTACATTTACATAATTGTGGATGACTTTTTCATGGCTCAAGCCCTGAACATGCCTCTGGGCCTAACTCTGAAGTTTAAATTTTGTCTTATAGGATATTGTTTCAGAGGTTTCCAGTGACTGAACTAGTCTTAAGTCTCTTCTACAGACCACCTAGTGGGAGGTAGCTGGCAGCAAGAAACATAGCCTTTGAGCTGTACTGTATAAAGAAGGCGAGGTACAGATGCCAGGACATAATAAACCAGTGAAAATGAGGAAATAAAAAGATAGATCACTGGTGTGGCTTATAAATCCAATATTCAGTGACAACACATAGCTTATTAACTTTCTAAGTAATGATGGTCAATAATATTTAATCTCAGCTGTATCTCAAGTTGCTATCATATATATTCCTGAACTTCCCCAATTCCACCTATAATTAGGAAATGACCACAAAATGAAACAAACCTAAAAAGAAAAGAATAGAAACAAGCATGACTCTTTGTTTTTCCTGAGGTGAACTAGTTGGCTATACTGAAAGTTCTAATTCAGAATGCATGCATCAGCCCAAACACCATCTGCTAATGTTCTTTTCTAGTTAATAGATTTATCTCAAAAGATGCCTTATCTTCAGGACAGAAACCTTGCCAAAATAGCATTTTCTTTTTAGAAGCCCCTTTTATAGAATTATAAATAAGCTCAATGAATGTTCAGTCAAGATTGTGCTTACTGCTGCCCTGTATTTCGCTGCCAAGGCATTTAAAATCTACTGCCCATTTTCCCTCCAGGAAGTTCTCAAACTGGTATGAATTCTTTCTTCCCAGGTACCTCCAGATCATCAGTTACTCGATGTAAACCAGGAGCCAACTGCCCCGCTTCACTTGGTGGCATTAGTAGACAACTGTCCCCTTTGTCTGTCACCGAAGATTCTTCTGCTCCTATTCTTGAGCTGCAGAGTCGAGGATCCTCTGGAGTTTGTGGACACCGAGTTGAGAGACAGAACAGATCAGGTAAGCTCCTCTTAAATAACAGTGCCTCTAGGTAACCTTCTGACGGCCCAGGAGAGAGGTTTTCATTAGAGTAAAACTTTAAGGATGGTATATGGACGTTATGAATGGGACTTTGTCAGGTCTGTAAGGTGGGATAAAGAGGAAGAAGAAAAATGTATGAATATAATGTATTAGTAACATGAAATATAGCAAAAAACCCTTACTGATAGTTGAGGAGAAGTCACTGAGTGGTATAAATGAATAATGTAAATTCAGCTGCTGTCCCAAACAGAAGATCTCGTCCCAAAAGAATCATCCATTGAAAACTCTTTGGAGTAAAGTTCTACTCTGACACACTTGCGTCACCAAGGGTTAAAGCTGACTTGTCAATAACCGTCTTATTATTGAAGTACTTAATATATACTAGACAATGACATCTAATGAGGTTTAAAATATAGCTAGTTTTTTTTTTCTTCAAAAAGTTAAACATCTTTTACCTCAACACTGACATTCAGTAGGAACACATCTGCTCATTCTTGGAAGAATAAAAGCATTAATAAAATCTGAGAATCTGCACTTGACCTCATTGTTGCTGTTGTGTACCACCGAATCGGAACTGAACCATAGCTGACCCTGCGGTAGGTTTACAGAGGCAGTTAATTGCACAAGAGAAGATTGCCCATCCTTCTGCCTTGGAACAGCTGTGGGATTTGAACCATAAGATTTTGGGATTGTAGCACAGCTTCTTGCCATGAGGCCACCAGAGCTCCATTTACTTCTAGGACCATCAATCCTGAGCACCTTCCCAGCTTTCCCAATTTTACTCCTCCTACAGAAAACTTCACTTGCCCTTTTAGTCATCATTTGCTGAACAACCTTTTCCTCACATCCACCTAGCCAATCACTCTCTAAGTTTACTAGACCTTTTTAGAGAAATCTTAAGACTATCCTTGTGAGTTTCTCAGAAATTTTATCATTTTTAAATGCAGCGGAATCTACAGGCTGCTTACCATTTCAGAGCAGCAGTGGATAGCTTATTGCCTTCTCAGAGAATGTTCTTAAGCCCCTAAGTCCCATATTCAACTCCTCTCAGCAAATGACTACCTGTTCCTCTTCCTAAAAAGAGTAGCATAACTACATGCTAATAACTCAATTAATGTGGGGTGTTTTTTTAGTTGCCAATTACCATCTTGGTGCTGTCTTCACTGGCTTACTCATCTTTCTACTTTTCTACTACTGATTCTTCTATGTGTCCATAGTTCTTTCTTCCTCATCTCTTCTATCTTGCTAGCTAACTACATGCAAAAATCTCTTTTATCCTTAACTACAACACCAGCTGCCACAACAAAATATAACATCCTGTGCATGTGGGTAGTAAAACAAATACACCAAAAAGACTTTTGAGAAAACTGGCTTAAAATAACCTCAAATAAACAGATTGACAGTGACGCTATGGGTGACTTTTCATTATGTGTTGGAGAGGGGTAACACAAAAAGAAGAGTGTGAATACCTCTTATACCCTAATTCTTTACAATGATTTGTTTATTTTTTAAAAACTTTTTTCCAACATGGGTTAATTTTTTAAATGATGGTTTAATAATCAAATGAACCCTGAGGTTAAAATTCTAGGAAAAAGAGGGGAATGTGATATTGTCTTAAATCTTAAGACAATTTTAATTGCTTTTTATAAATTGCAGTAATATTCCAATTATGTAGATCTTGGAACAGAATGTTCCAGTTAATTAAATATGCTGGTTAATAGATATGTGCCCTATCTATCATACACAGATTACCACATTTCGAAGACCTTACCATTAAAGATCACATGGAATATAATTTACTCTTTTTTTTGATGACTCAGACGGCACTTGAAAATAATCCAGTGTACCACAGAAAGAAGGAGAACAAAATCTAAAGAGCTACTCACCAGACGCAGTGCTAAATATTATGGTACTTAACCTCAAAATTAATCTCTAGAGAAAGATACTATCATTGTTTGACAAATAAGGAAATGACAGAATAAATTAAACAATGTACTCAAGGCCATACAGCAGCAGGACTAAGACTTTTTACAAATTCCAGAAGCCTCTAACATCAGTTTGTATTACTCCAATAAATACTCAGACAAATGGATGGCATTCCTGGTAAACCAAAATTATTTCTGTACGTAAATATATCTTTCATCATTGTTGTTATGTGCTGTCAAATGGGAACTAACTCATGGCTGACCCGGGTTAGGTTTTCAGAGGTAGTAAATCACACAGGAGGAGATTGGCCATCTTTTTCTCACAGAACAGCTAGTGGATTCGAACCTGCCTTGTGTGTGTGTGTGTGCATGCATGTGTGTGTGTGTGTGTGTGTGTGTGTGTGTAAGCTGGTGTGTGTATATATTCATGCTTTGAATCCACCAGCTAATCTGTAGGAGAAAGATAGACAATCTCTTCCTGTGCAATTAAACTGCCTCTGAAACCCTGCTGGAGGGTCAGCTATGAGTCATTTCCCACTCGAGAGTACACTGCCACAACAGAGAATCATGTTTAAAGTGGACAAGAAAAGAACCCTGGTAGCACAACGCCTTGAGGATGTGTGGAATGAGAGACTTGACAACAGAGTGTAGTGAACAAGAGAATGATTCAATACTCTGAAGAAATACAGAAAAACCCTGACTGTTGGTGTCCTCAAAAGCACTGATGATGCTGACAGAGAAGAAATCTGAAAGGAAGGTGACAATGAAGGCACTGCACACTTGAAAAGGATATTTAAATTTTTGTGGAATAATTTCTACTTTAGTTCCTGAGGATAATATGGTTTATAGTAAAGTGTGGACTCTTCTCTTAAATATCACTTCTCTCAAACGTAATGGCATTGGCAAAACAATAGGCCCCAGGAATCAATAAAATACCAATTGATATATTTCAACTAACAAGTGCAGCCCTGAATGTGTTCACCAGTTTATGTCATGACATTGGAGGTCAGCTGCTTGGAGGACTGATTGAAGATATTTGTATTTGTTCCCATTTCCAAGAAAGATGATCCAACAGAATGTATGAATTGTCAGACATTATCATTAATATTACATGCAAGCAAAATATTTTGCTGAAAATCATCCAAAAAATGACTAGAACAGTACACTGATGGAGAACTGTCAGAAGTTCAAGCTGAGGCCATGGCATCAGGGATTTTATTCTTGATGTCAGATGGATCCTGGCTGAGAGCAGAGAATATCAGAATAATATGTATTTGTGTTTCCTTGACTCTGCAAAAGCATTTGACTGTGTAGATCCTAACAAATTGTGGCTATCATTGAGAAGAATGGGAATCCTGTAACAATCATACAAAACCTGGGGGGGAGGTCGGAAAACACCTTTATGGGGGGGGATTAATTATAGGGTCACACAATTTGATGAAGGTGTGTGTGAAGGAAAGATCTGGTGTGAAAAACAATGTATACAAACTTTGTACATAGATTACTATAAAATAAAAATGACAAAAAGCACACAAAAACTCTGTATCTAGACTAATAAGCTGCTGTCCAAATAGAGTGACAGAACACTGCAAGGTTTAAAATAAGGAAAAGTGTGTGTCAGAGTTGTATCCTTTCTTTATTTCTTTTGAATCTGTACATAGAGAAAATAATTTGAGAAGCTAAATTGTATGAAGAAGAATGTGCCATCATGATCAGAGGACAACAACTCATCATTAACTTATTTTATGCAAGTGATACAATCTTGCTTGCGAAAGGACTTGAGGACTTGGAACATTTGCTGCAGAAGATCAAAGACTATATATAGCTATATATAGATTACATCTCAACATCAAAAAGGCAAAAATCTTCACCACTGAATTTATAAGAAATATAATGATAGATGGAGAAACATTGACATAGTCAATGATTTAATCTTACTTTGATCCTCAATCAATGCCTTTGGTACCAGCAGCCAAGAAATTAGGAAATATATTGCATTGGGCAAGTCTGCTGTGAGGGACTACTCTAAAATAATGAAGAGCAATGATCTCAGTTTGAAGACTAAGGTATGCCTGGTTCAGATTATGATCTTTTTAATCACTTGCTATGCATCTAAGCATAATAGAAAAAGAATTTCTATCTTCGAGTTGTGTTGTCGGAGAAGAGCATTGAATATCCCAAACAAAAACAAACAAACAAAAACAAAAAACCCCAATCAGTATGTCTTGGGAAAAGTGCGGCCAGAGTGCTCCCCATCTTGTGGGGATCCTCCTCTCTTTCACTTCCATTCCATCTTTCCAAGAATGATAGCCCTTTCCAAGGAACAGCCTCTCTAGCAACATGTCCAAAGTATGTGAGATGAAGTTTCACTTTTGGACTATGTTTTTTAAAAATCTTATGAATTTATTTAATATTCATAAAAATCCAAACCAAAACTTGTGCTTTCAGAGGTATGCTGAATAGCAATTTGTTCTAAGGTGAGAAATACCTTTGTGTACTCAGAATTTGCTCTTCTTCTTGGGGACACATTGCTTTTCAATTTAAATTATCATCTTTGCTGTACTTTTCCAAAATAAATCTCAGTGGCTCATAATAGCCAATATTTATTTCTCACTTTTCATGTTTCAGAGAGAGGGTAGCATTTGCTGGACTCTGTTCATTCCCTGACATAGACCAAAGAAGCAGCCAAGGAAGGGAGAGAAAGGAAAGAGAGGGAAAGAAGCAAGAGAGCTGGTAGACCTTCTAATGCTTTTTAAAGCTTTTCCTAGCATAAGAACAAAAACTGTATGAGACCATTATTGTAGGAATAGAAAGATAACTAGTAGAACGCCTATGAAGATCCAAGAATGTGAGGGGAGGAGCTGAGGGGTGAGGATGGGCAGGGGTGTAATCATGGAGTCGCACAATTTGATAGATGAAGGAAGGGGTGGGAAAAGGCAGTGGGAAAGATTGGGTGGGTATCTGGAAAGGCAAGGCAATGGTGGGCATAGTTTAATGTTGATTATTTTTGTAAAATATAACAAATAGGAATGATTGTATGAAACACAATGTGAATGGAGAATAGTGTGAAACACAATGTGTACATACTTTGTAAGAAAACCAGTATAAAATAAAAATTTATTTTAAAAAAAACACCGAACTTCTACTAGTAAATGACTCATATCTAACCTGCTGATTTGTTATTGGACAAAACAGATCATGTGATCAAACCTCAAGTCTTTGGAACTGGCATGCATGAATCCAATAAGTAGGAGCCCTTGAGGTACAGTGGTTAAGTGTTCACCTGCTAACCAAAAAGTTGGTGGTTCAAACTACCAGCCAACCCATAATGGAAAGATGTGGCAGTCAACTTCCTTAAAGATTATAACCTTGGTAACCCTATGAGGCAGGTCACCTCAGTCCTAGAGAATCACTTGGAGAACATGCCATATGCCACAGTCTATGAACACTCCCATCAACTAGATGGGAGTCTAGACAATTACTATCTTGCAAAGCAGGGATGCAGGAGAGAAAACCAGCCAGATATCAATCTCTTAAAATGATTGTAGTTTTAAAAGAAAATCAAAGCCTGGTAGTTCTAGTGTCTGCCTGTTCAGTTTCAGCACGTTTCAAAGGAATGGAAACGTTTAAGTGCTTTTTTATGACCTGGTTTCCATGCATTTGTATTCCTTCTCTGTTTTCAGGGGATGATGGGACACAGTCTACTCATGCTGAGAACAGCAGCCAAGAAAACCGAATCAAGGCTCGCTGCCAGTCGTGCACGTCCATGGTCCTGAAGGCCATCTGGGGACTCTTGATCATCTTGTCAGTGTCGTCATCCTGGGTTGGAACCACACAGATTGTAAAAATTACCTATAAGAACTTCTACTGTCCATTTTTCATGACATGGTTTTCAACAAATTGGAACATTATGTTTTTCCCAGTCTATTATTCTGGTCATCTGGTCACTGCTCAAGAAAAGCAGTCTCCAATGAAAAAATTCAGGTAGGTTTCTTATTAAATAGTTAACAGGAGATATTCTAAAATTTGTTTAATGTTATTAATAATTTTTAACTATCTTTTTAAATATTTGTTTAAGTTTTAGACAAACATAAAATAAATGCACTTGATTGTGGAAGGGCAGGGTTCATTCAGAGTCAATTGTGAACATTAGGAAGCAGATTAGTTCTCTCAAAAAATATTGAGTATCAATACGTGAAAATAGTTACCTATGGTGCACAGTGTTTGGTGGAGCTCCCCAATTAATATAAGCTTGGAAGCTAGAGTGATATCCACTGCCTCTGGATACCCCACGAACCCGGAGAAAGGACGAAAGTTATACAAGTGTCCAGGATTTTCGTTCATGGGGTCAATATGAGTCGCCTGCTACTTGACGGCACTTAACAACAACAGCACCAACAACAGCATAGAGAGAGAGAAAGCAGTTGGCCTAGTGGACAGAAAGCCAAAGGTTGGTGGCTCTACTCCACAGCCCTCAGGCCTGCCTTTAATTGTGTTTGGTGAAACACTGTTCTAGGTCGTGTAACCCTGGTCTGTCCATTTGCAGTCTAGAGGTCATTCATGGTTGCCATGAAGCCGAACACTGTGACACTGATGAGGCCAATGTGATAAAGGTTACCCATGGTGGGGGCAATGTTTGGTCGAGCTCCCTGATTAAAACAAGCTTGGAAGCAGGAGTGGCATCCACTTCCACAACAGCTTGCCTCTGGAACCCTATGAACCTGGATAAAGGAGTGGCATCACTTTCATTCATGAGGTCGCTAAGAGTCGCCTGTGACTCGATGGCACTTAACAACAATTTAACAACATTGATATGTGGGAAGTCTGGTGGCCTAGTGGCCCAAAGATGTGCTACAATCCCCAATGTACACAGTTTGTATCAACCAGCTGCTTTGCAGAAGAAGGATGGGCAATCTTCTCCCACAAGATTAACTGCTTCTGAAAACCTGCTGGAGGGTCAGCTATGGGTCAGTTCCGACCTGATGGCACACAACAACAATAACATCCTCATTTTAATACATGCATATCCCCACTTTGACACAGGTTCAAAAAGGTTTGGTAACTTGCTCATCTTTATCTCAAGGATGTTTTCGTGGGTTTGAACAGGCAGAGAGGCAGAGTCTTGGGGTTGACAACACAACTCCCTATGGACCACACCACCAAAGTATCATTGAATAAATAGTAGAATCCAGATCTCAGCCTAAATACTGAGATCTACTTCTGTCTATATTTAGTCATATTTTTAACAAAATGTTCTAGTATCTCAAATCCAGGAAAAAATATGCATTAATAATATAAATTCTCCTGACAAACATTTGTGTGCTATTCCAGATACTATACAGATGAAATAACATTACTTTGCACAGTAGAAATGTTTGTCCTTTGTAAAGGAATTCTTTACAAAGTGTCATTCTTTGTTGGCTAGGATTGTATGCATCATGTCTGTCTGTTTGCCACCTATAGACATTGGTGTCTGGGCTTACTCAGTAGTCCCAAGGTTCTAATAACTGCTCTGCAATAAACCCAGCTTGTGCAGCCTCCTCTTTGGAAGTTCCTTGCAGCTAACAGGACTAGTATCACACAGCCCTGCTCAGCACTCAAGGAAGGCAAATGCAGCAAATGCATCAGAATCCCCTTGCTAATACTTTTCGGAAAAGGAAAATCCAAGAATTATTTTTTAAAAAAAAGCTACTGCTACTTTTAAAGGAGCTCTGATGGCTTAGTGGTAAGAATTATGCTGGAAACTTAAACACATGTGGTTTGAATCCGTCAGCAGCTCTGTGGGAGAAGAATGGACAATCTCCTCCCATGCGATTTACTGCATCTGAAAATCCACCAGAGCATGAATTATGGGTTGGTTCTGACTCAACAGAACACAGCAACAACAGCTGCTACTTGCAGTAACATAGATAAATCCGACAGACATCATTTTTTTTTCAGTGAATGGTAGATCAAAAGCAATACATACTGTGCTATTCCATGTGCATGAAGTTCAAGAATGAATGTTGTTGCTATGTTGTTATGTGCCATCGAGTGGCTTGCGACTCATAGCGACCCTATGTACAAGAGCTCTACACATTCTTCTATCCTGTGCCAACCTAGCCATCTCAAATGCACTTATTCCCACATCTCCAGTCACAGAATCGATCCACCTCATCAAAGGTTTTCCTCTCCTTTGCCGCCCCTCCACTCTGCCAAACATGATGTCCCTCTCCAAGGACTAGTCCCTCCTTGCAACATGTGCAAAATATGTCAGACAAAGCTTCAGAATCCTTGACTCCAAGGAGCATTCTGGCTTCACCCTCTCCAGGACGAACCTGTTTGTTCTCCTAGCAGTCCATGGTATATTCAACACTCTTCTCCAGCACCAAAGCTCAAAGGCATCAATTCTCTTTCTATCAACCCTATTCA